CTTCTAGCAACCCTAAACCCTAAACCCTAAACCCTAAACCCTAAACCCCTTGGCCCCCCCGAAACCCCAAACCCGTGAACCCTAAACACTAAAACCCCGAACCCTAAACGGTTTGGGGGTTCAGGCATCCCGTTCCCAATAAGCCCCCCAACCCTAAACACACACGGCCGCTCGCCAAACACCAAACTACCCAACGGCTTCCGAGGCTGTAAGGCATGTAGGGTTCCGGGTTTAGGGTTTAGGGTCTAAGGTTTAGGGTTTAGGGTTTAGGGTTTCGGGTTTAGGGTCTAAGGTTTAGGGTTTAGGGTTTAGGGTTTAGGGTCTAAGGAGTTCGGGTTGAAGGAGCCTCTCCCATGTGGCAGATAAACGTCTACCTGGGTTTTTGGTTGAAGCCTTGGAAGTTGGGAGTTGATTGCTGGCTTGTCCTCGCCCTAAACCCTAAACCCTCAAGCCCCAAACCCACAAAGCCGCAAAGCCCCAAACCCGTAAACCCTTAAGCAGGAAGGGGGGGGGGGGGGGGCTGAGGAGCCCTAAACCCTAAACCCTAAACCCTAAACCCTAAACCCCTAAACCCCTAAACCCCTAAACCCTAAACCCCAAGCAGGAGGATTTGTGGGGGGGGCGGAGGAGCTTCAGATGCTCACTCAGGCGGAGTCGCAGCTTGCAAATCATGGCTTTGAGGCCAAGAGCCTGGGCGGCTCGCCGGCCCCCCGCGTCCTAAAACCCTTCCGTGCCTTCAAGCCCTACCTGGGACTGTATTTACCTACAGTTTACTAGTAGCTACCTCTTAGTTCGCTGGTATAACAGCATAGTCCATAAAGCTGTAGGTAAGGAGAGTCCCAGGGAGATCCTACACCCGAGAAATTCGAGATGGGCATTTCCCAACATAGGCGTGCCTCTTTGATACCCCACATAGAAGAGAATCCCCTGAAAGGGACCCCAAGAAGCGTACCCCTAATTACCCTCGAACCCCTGAAGCCGAAGTCGCGTACCCCAAGAGAAGCGGCATCTTGAGAAAAAATGGGTCTCACAAAGTGGGCCTCCTGGGCCGTGTCTGGGTTTACCCTAAACCCTAGCGGACCCTTCTAAGGCTCTTCAGGGGAGGGGGGGGGGAGGGGGTACAGAGGTCGTGCTCGCTATTGTAGGGGGGGGGGGGTTATAGGGTGTTCGTTGGGACGTTCTGTTAGGCTTACATCCTGTAGCCCTGATTATTGGACAGAAGCTCGTCTGGTGGAACACGTGCACTGATTATGGCCTGCCTGTCGTCGGGATTAGGATTCAAAGTTGAGCTGTGAATTTCCTGAAATTGGGGGGGGGGGGGGGGGGGTGCCCCTAGGAGTTTAGGGTTTCTAGGGTTTATCATCACAAGATATGATTCATATCCATTTCAAACACGCTGAGCCCTAAACCCCAAACCCCAAACCCCCAACCCCAAACCCCAAACCCCAAACCCTAACCCCCTCCCCCCCCGTCCCCCAAAAAGAAGAGGCGCCTCCAGATTCGCGCCATCCTGGCCAAAGGCACGAGGGTTTTGTCACCCCTGAGCCCACTTGGGAGCTTCAGCGTCTAGTGTTTCGCACCACTGCAAGGGGTTTTAGGGTTTAGGGCTGTGGGTCTAGGGTCTGAGGGGCTGTAGGGTTTAGGGCTTTGGGTCTAAGGTCTTAGGGCTTTAGGGTTTCAGGGTTGTAGGATTTAAGGGCTTAGGGTCTTAGAATGTCAGGAGTTTTAGGGGTCTGAGGGGTGTTTAGGGTTTAGGGTTTAGGGTTTAGGGTTTAGTGTTTTGGGTTTTGGGTGCACGGTTGGGGAATGGATCACTATGAAAGGTTTCGGAACCGTGGAAGGCAAGCAAAGCGGGGCTCTAGGGTTTAGGGTTTAGGGTTTAGGGTTTAGGGTTTAGGGTTTAGGGTTTAGGGTTTAGGGTTTAGGGTTTAGGGTTTAGGGTTTAGGGTTTAGGTTTTAGGGCTTAGGGCTTAGGGCTTAGGGTTTAGGGTTTAGGGTTTAGGGTTTAGGGACATGTGTGCTTTTTTCGGGTTCTAGGCTCAGGGTATGGTGTTTCATGTACTTGGCTTGCAGTGCTCAGCTGTGGGGTCCTCGAGTCCTAGAAAGCCACTCCAGCCCCCCCACACCTGAACCCTAAACCCTAAACCCTAAACCCTAAACCCTAAAACCCTGAACTCTGAACCTTAAGACCCTGAGCCGCCAAGAAAACCCCAAACCCTAAACCCCTTTCAACCCTAAACTCTAAACCCGGAACCGCATTGATCTCAGAATTGGGGTCGCACGTTAAATGAAGCCCACATTAGACCTCAGACACCAGACCCTCGAACATGGATCCTAGTTCCTAAGCCCTAGAGACCCTAGACCCTAAACCCTAAACCCTCACCCGTAGCCCTAAACCCTCACCCGTAGCCCTAAACCCTAAACCCTAAACCCTAAACCCTACTGCCCTCCCTCTCTGTCACCTCCAGCATCTGAGGGGAGCCACCCTGCACCTGCACGTGGGTCTTCGGGCGCTTCGGAGTTCTGCTCGTTGTGAGGTTTAGGGTTTAGGGTTTAGGGTTTAAGGTTTAGGGTTTAGGGTTTGGGGTTTAGGGTTTAGGGCTTAGGGTTTAGGATCTAGGGTTTAGGGTCGATACAGGGTTCGGGATGTACCGCCGTCATGCGGCCCACACCGCTTGATACCCTCAATTCTAGGGGCTGTGCGTTGGGATCCCCCTTATCGCCTCAAGTGAGGCACCCCAAGCCCCGGAACCCCCCCAGCCCTCAAGGCTCAACCCTAAACCCTAAACCCCAAACCCCTAAACCCCTAAACCCCGAAACCCCTAAACCCCTAAACCCCTAAACCCTAAACCCTAAACTCTAAACCCTAAACCCTGAACCCTAAACTGAACCTTACCCAAACCCCTAAACCCCTAAACCCCTAGACCACAAACCCTCAAAGTATGCCTAGATGTCGGCCTCCGGTGGCCTCATCTGCTCGAAGAGCTGGGGCGCCTGGGGCCCAACACTGCGGAGTTGGGTGGGGGGGGGGGGGGAGGGTTAGGGTTTAGGGTCTAGGGGTTTAGGGCTTAGGGTTTAGGGTTTAGGGTTTAGGGTTTAGGGTTTAGGGTGTAGGGCTTAGGGCTTAGGGCTTAGGGCTGAGGGCTGAGGGCTGAGGGCTTAGGGCTTAGGGTTCGGGCTTCGGGTTCGCCAGCGCAGCAACTCGCGCAACCCGCACAAGCCCTAAAAACGTTCGAGCGCGAAAGACCTCGCAGAAGCCCAAAGCCCAGAAAACCCCCTGGGAGCCCAGGAGCTTAAGCCTAAACTCTAAACCCTAAACCCTAAACCCTAAACCCTTAACCCTTAACCCTTAAACCCTAAACCCTACTAAACCCCAAACTCTTTGGCCCGGGCCAGGCCCGCCAGGCGCGTGGCCTTGGCACGGGCCTCGGCGGCTGTGGCGCGCGGGCCTGGGCGCACCACTGCGGGCCGGAACAGGTGTAGGCGGTGTAGGGCTCATAGGGGTTTTAAGGGTTTTCAGGGTTTAGGGTTTAGGGTTTAGGGTTAGGGTTTATCGGGTTTTTAGGGTTTGGGTTTTGGGGTTTAGGGTTTAGGGTTAGGGTTTATAGGGTTTAGGGTTTGGGGTTTAGGGCTATCCCCCACACCCAAAAACCCGGTCGCAAAGGACTCAATAACATACCCATTCTGATTCAACTACCTTTATGATGCCCTGTGTTACGCAGGGGCTTTGGGCGTTCTAGCTAAACCTTGCTTCCTGGAAAGTACACAAGATAGGGGTGACTCTAAACCCTAAACCCTAAACCCTAAACCCTAAACCCTAAACCCTAAACCCTAAACCCTAAACCCTAAACCCTAAACCCTAAACCCTAAACCCTAAACCCTAAACCCTAAACCCTAAACCCTAAACCTAAACCCTAAACCCTAAAGGGGGGGAAGACTGCTTGGGCCCTCAAGCCCTGCCAGCCCTAAGCCCCTTGATCCCGCAACCAGGCCTTTGGAAACCTCTTCGGGACCCCCGCAAGGCATCCACTGGTTTTAGGGTTTAGGGTTTAGGGTTTAGGGTTTAGGGTTTAGGGTTTAGGGTATAGGGTAGGGTATAGGCTTTAGGACCTGATGTTGAGTCCCTGCCCTGCTATTCCCCCTTTGCGAGCCCTTGCCGATCGGACCTTCACACCAGATTTCTCCGCCCATGTCTCAACGGCTAGCCCCTAAGACCCTTGAACTCTAAACCCTACACCCCTAAACCCTAAACCCTAAACCCCAAACCCGAACCCCAACACCCTAATTGCTGCTGTCCATCTTGCCTGCACTTGGGTTTAGAGATCCGCTCCAAGAAGTGAGCACGCCAAGCCTTAAGCTTGAGATAGCTTGAGGACTTTAAAACGACCCAACCCTAAACCCTAAACCCTAAACCCTAAACCCGCCCTTGCAAGAAGATGCCAGGGGAAACAGGTGCAGGTACAAGGAAGCATGCAGGCATTTCGAGAGGAAGAGCCTGACGCAGAACGCTCCAGCGGAGATAGATCAACCCTAAACCCTAAACCCTAAACCCTAAACCCTAAACCCTGAACCCTAAACCCTGAACCCTGAACCCTAAACCCTAAACCATCAACTCTAGGCCCCGAGGCTTGTTAAAAACTCCCAGGCTCTCAGGGCCCAAGGCTGGGAGAACTCTAGGGGGTTACTAGGGCTTAATTCGGTTTAGGGTTTAGGGATTAGGGTTTAGGGTTTAGGGTTTAGGGTTTAGGGTTTAGGGTTTAGGGTTTAGGGTTTAGGGTTTAGGGTTTAGGGTTTAGGGTTTAGGGTTTAGGGTTTTTGTGGGGCTTTTTTGGGCACTTGGTATTCCACTAAATTACGAAGGGCCCTGATAGAAATAACTTGGAGAAAGGGTGGCAGTGGGGTAGCAAGACGACATACAAGTACGCCATCTTGAACCCCGGCAGACGCAATCCTCATAAAACGCACGGTGTTCTTGAGTGGTGCCTTTTTGTGTGCTCGTCTCAATAGCCCCTCGCCAGATTCACGAGGTAGTCGGGCATCCGCCCCTCCAGTACAAAGCCCCGTGCAGCCCTGCAGAAGCATTCCACGGACTCCTTGATGAGGATTGGCGGGCCGTTAGGGGTTTAGGGCTTAGGGTTTAGGGTTAGGCCAGTAGATTAACGTAGAAGTTCGGCAGCCCAATCAAAAGGCCATGACCCAAAGAAGCAAACACTCTCAACCTCCAAACCCGAAACCCTTGAAACCTACACACTCCCCAAACCCTAAACCCTAAACCCTGAACCCTGAACCCTAAACCCTGAACCCTAAACCCTAAACCCTGAACCCTAAACCCTAAATCCCAAACCCCTAACCCCAAACCCAAGCCTGCCAGCAACACCTCACCGCATCGGACTGAGCTAGGTCTCAGAAATCGGGATGTGGGGAGGGTTTAGGGTTTGGGGTTTGGGGTTTAGGGTTTAGGGTTTAGGGTTTAGGGTTTAGGGTTTAGGGTTTAGGGTTTAGGGTTTAGGGTTTAGGGTTTAGGGTTTAGGGTTTAGGTGAGGATGTCGCCTTCAGTGTGGGAATGTTTGTTTGGGATTGGTAAGGTTTGTTTAGAGTGCTTGGCGTTTTTGTAGGGTTTACAGGAAGTATAGGGTTTTTACGGCTTGCAGGCTTTCTAGGGTTTCGGGTTGGACGGTGGTCCTCGTTCATCGACAAGCTAATGTCGGCATTGTGGGGCGTCAGAAAAAGCTTCGAGGACGGCAGCAAATCCTCCCGCCTCAGATCTTTTGCAGAATACGGTCTCAAACTTTCCGTCGCTTCTGGGATTCCAGGTTTTTCAGGGGGTTTGGTTGGGCCGGGGGAGGGGGGGGGCTTCTGCCGTGCAACGTTTTTGATGCCATAAAGGGCGCTCTAGGGTTTAGGGTTTAGGATTTAGGGTTTAGGGTTTAGGAGGGTTGAAGGTTGAGGAGTTGGGTTCAGGGCAACCCCCAAGGCTTCTGCTGGAATCACGCAGCCCAACTACCCTAACTAACGCAGCAAGGCTGGAACGACCCTTGTTTAGCCTCAGGATTTTTTTTGGGGAAACCCTAAACCCTAAACCCTAAACCCTAAACCCTAAACCCTAAACCCTAAACCCTAAACCCTAAACCTCCCCAAGGTGCCAGAAAGGCGACTCCGGAGGCAGCGGCTCCTCGCGGAAGACGTCCAGCGCGGCCCCACGCAGGTGGCCGCTCTGGGGGGGGAGGGTTTAGGGTTTAGGGTTTAGGGCTTAGGGCTTAGGGTTTAGGCTTTAGGGTTTAGGGTTTAGGGTTTAGGGTTTGGGGTTTAGGGTTTGGGGTTTAGGGTTTAGGTTTTAGGTTTTAGGGTTTAGGGTTCATTAGGGTTTAGGTTCAATAGGGTTTAGGGTTCATTAGGGTTTAGGGTTCAATAGGGTTTAGGGTTCATCAGGGTTTAGGGTTCAATAGGGTTTAGGGTTCATTAGGGTTTAGGGTTCACTAGGGTCTAGGATTCATTAGGGTTTAGGGTGGGGCGAGAAGGTTTAGGGTGTAGGGTTTACGTTCACCAGACAGTCATCAACAAACAGCAATGGGTTTAGGGTTCAGGGTTTCTATAGGTAGTCATATAATCACAATGTTGATCATGGCAGCAGGGGCAGTAATTTTTGCATCTGTGAATAAAAGCGAAATGAAAAAGACATAGGAGAGAACCATTTAAGCTATGCCAGCGGCATATCAGAGTTTCGATCTCATCTTGGCCCAAAGGGTGAGTGGGACGCCTTGGCAAGAAACCGGGGAAACAAAAAACAAAAAAAAAGAGGGGGGTTTAGGATGCAGGGTTTGGGGACTTAGGGTTTAGGGATTAGGGTTTAGGGACGTAGGGCTTAGGGCTTTAAATGAAGCAAGGCACCCATGAATTCCGGGGTTCTGGGCTTTCTAGGAACCAGGGAGAGGAGGCAGAAGCTCCGCTGCCACTAGCACCCGGCAATCAAACCCCAAACCCTCAGCCCTACGCGTTGGGAGTGTTCCACCTTATTCCGTCCTTAACAGGGATTATGGGGGGTACTACAATCCCCCTTAAGGACTGTTAGAAAAAGGGGGAACATCCCAACCTAAACCCTGAACTTGAATCAGAAGGAAGAACAAGCTTACACTTCACCGGTCGGCCATATATCATAGGCCCAACAACACGCAACACCGGAAACAAGGGACCGTGAAGGGCAACGAACCCAGGGCTCACCAGAGCTTCCCCACTTCTAACTTCAAGGGAAACCCTAAACCCCATAAACCCTACACAAATCCCCCAAACCCTAAACCCCAACTCCCCTAAGCCCCCTAAACCCCTACACCCTAAACCCTAAACCCTAAACCCTAAACCCTAAACCCCTAAACCCTCAACCCCAAACCCCTAAACCCCTAAACCCCTAGACCCCAGACCGCCCGCCTCAAGGTGCCGCTGCAGCGCGGCCTCGTCCACGGTGGTGCCGCGGCCGATGTTGATGAAGAGCGCGCCCGGCTTGAACCTCTGGGTTGGAGGGGGGTTTAGGGTTTGGGGTCTCGGATTTAGGACTTGGGGTTTAGGGTTTAGGGTTTAGGGTTTGGGGTTTGGGGTTTAGGGCTTGGGGCTTAGGGTTTCGGACTGTGATAAGGGACGGATGTCAGAAACTCATGAAACCCTAAACCCTAAACCCTCAACGCTAAACCCTAACCCTAAACCCTAAACCCTCAACGCTAAACCCTAAACCCTAAACCCTAAACCCTAAACCCTAAACCCTAAACCCTAAACCCTAAACCCTAAACCCTAAACCCTAATGCCCTTGCAAACCCTAAACCCTAAATTCAAAAAAAGGGCTGCTTAGGGAGTACCCACCCTTTTGTAGGGTGCCTGGACCTACACCCGACAGCCAGTCACACCATCGCTTGGCCTTACTATGCAAGCCTAAAAAGTTGTGTTGAGCGTGAGCTGCACCTCCACTGCCCCTGCAGTATACCCCGCCTGGGGTACCCCACCCCCCTTCTCCGATTCTCAAGTATTATCCGCCGAGGCCTCGGGCCGGAGGTGTATAGGTTGTCAGAACAGGCACCCCCCCACCCACTTTTTTTTGCCTCAAATTGGTAATTCTCGGGGTCCGGTTCGCCGTTGAAGCCCCTCCCAGCTCCTGCTACCCTCCCCCCCCTACCCCCCCCTACCCCCCCGACTACCCCCCCAGCTGCCCCCCCCCACCCCGCCCCACCCCTCCCCCCTTCCCCCTCCCCCCTGGCTCAACCCTACCCCAAAAAACCCCAAAGCTTGAAACTACCCTCAACCCTAAACCCCAAACCATAAAACAAGAAACCCGGAACCCTAAACCCTAAACCCAACCCTTATTGCTTGGGGTCCAGCGACTTGGGCGCTGTGGAATCACCATGCTCACGCGGATGCGCTGGGCCGGGCCTCGCGTTAAAATTAAGAAAGCCAAACCGGCGAGCGGCCCCGGTGCAGGTGGCCCCGGACCCCCCTGCCCCCCCCCTCCGGAGCCCCTGGCGCCTCGCCCGCAAAGCGACTGAACCCACAATGCCCTGTGTGCCTCAGCCCCTCCCACATCCGGCGCCCCTCCCCTGCGAACCCTGACCCCCCCTTGACCACCCTTCATTGGCCTTCTGACCCAGTGCCCTTTGGCCCTCCTTTGGCCATGGCTCATGACCCCCCTAACCCCTCCTGGACCCCCCCAGCCCTGGCCCGGCCTGTTTGACCCCCCCTCCCCTCCCCTTCACCCACAGCCACGGCAACCTCCTACCCAACCGATCAAAGGATGGGGGCGGGAATTTAGGGCGTTAGCCCGAAACCCTAAAAGGAGAAAAGTTGGGTGGATGCCTGCGTGAGCAGGGGGTGGGAAAAATAAAACAACCCAACCTTTCTGGTTGTGGTGGCTCCAACTTCAATATACGCCGCCGCGACATATGCCGCCCCCTCACACCCCCTGGGTGTGTTGGGGCGCCATCTCCGCATGACATCTACTGCCGCGGCGCGGCGAGACGCCCTAAACCCTAAACCCTAAACCCTAAACCCTAAACCCTAAACCCTAAACCCTAAACCCTAAACCCTAAACACAAAGGGAGCCTCAATAACTATTCTTGGCTGCACTTAGGAGGGTAGCTAGAAGTTAAGTTTTTAGCTGCCTTACTAGGAAACCCAATAAACCCAAAAAGGCTAAGGATCTAAAGCTACAGCAAAGCACCACAAAGTATTGAGACTATTTGTGAAAGAAACGCCCGTAAATCCATAACTCCCTGTAAAAACCCTGAACCCTCAAAGCCCCATAACCCCTATAATCCATGTAATCCTTATAATCCCTATAATCCCTGTAATCCCCATAATCCCCATAATCCCGATAATCCCCCTAAACCCTCAACCCTAAACCCTGAACCCTAAACCCTAATGAACCCTAAACCCTACTGAACCCAAACCCTAAACCCCTAACCCCTTCAACAGTCCAGCGGCTTGCTGAAGCGCGAGTCGTCGAAGACGCTCCGCGTCTCTGCGGTGTTGGGCAGCGCCGCCAGGACGATGTCGGCCTCGGGCAGGACACGCTCGTCCATCGCAGAGTTCCCAAAGACCACCTACCAGGCAGGGTTTAGGGTTTTAGGTTTTAGGGTTTAGGGTTTAGGGTTTGGGGTTTAGGGTTTAGGGCTTAGGGTTTAGGGCTTATCGTCCATCGCGAAGTTCCCAAAGACCACCTTCCAGAGAGGCTTGTCAGAGCGAAGGGTGAAGGGGGCGCAGGGTGTACTTGGTTTAGGGGCCCTAAACCCTAAACCCTAAACCCTAAACCCAAAACCCTAAATCCGAAGCACAAGATACGGAGGCTTAACCCCTAGACCCTAAACCCTAGACCCTCGACCCTTTCAGCCATCCCCTCAACTCCTAGAAGCGCCCCCTAAACCCTAAACCCTAAACCCTAAACCCTACACTCTAAACCCTAAACCCCAAACCCCAAACCCTAAACCCTAAACCCTAAACCCTAAACCCTAAACCCTAAACCCTAAACCCTCGAAGCGTCGGACTTCCCCCCTTGCCTCCGCCCCGGTCTTTTCATCGATGTACGACTCCGCGCCCGAACTAGGGCGACTCGCCCCGCTCCGGACGCCGTAGACCTTCCTTGCCAGGATGCCCTGAAGGTTTAGGGTTTAGGGTTTAGGGTTTAGGGTTTAGGGTTTAGGGTTTAGGGTGTAGGGTTTAGTGTTTAGGGTTTAGGGTTTAGGGTTTAAGGTTTAAGGTTTAGGGTTTAGGGTTTAGGGTTTGGGGTTTAGGGTCCTCTGACACCCAAATAAGGAAAAACAACAAATAGCTACATATCCCAAGGGCCTACGATGATGATGAAAACAAAGAATGCGAAGAATGTTCTGATGATCAGGATGAGTACGATGAGTATGGTTGTTAGATCTGATTTAAGAATTATGCTTGCGATGATGAAAGTTACGCTTATCCTGATGAATACGATGAATGTGACCATTGTGAATCATATGCCTGTTCTGATGTTTCCGATGATTACGACGGGGGTGATTGACATCATGATGGTAACGACGAATAAGCTTATGTTCATACGATGAAAGTCTTGAGTGCTCGTTGTTTCACGATAGGAGTACTACACTTATAAACACATTCTGATTTGCATTTTTCCGAAGTCTTAGGATGCTTGATGATTCTGATTATCTTCTTGAAGTGTTTACAAACAGGTGGTGACAAACAAGGAAGGTTAAGTCTTTCTGGTTTGTGTGAGCATTTTGCTTTTTTAATGACTGTCATGAGAACTATGATTGTTCTGAGACATATCTTACTTTGCGTACTACGTTTGCTATCATTAACATCATGAATATGATTCGTGTGATGATTATGGTGGCTATGATTATGAAGATTCGTCGGGCCATATGGTCAATTCTGACTATTCATATGGTTACTCTTATTCTTTTGATGATGTTGACTATTATGACTATCATTGGTATTATGATTGTTCTGACAATTATGATCATTGCTACTCTGAGATTTTGGTTATTCTTGGGGTTATGCTGATTCTGATGCACATGCTGATCTGGGAGAATAACAGGCTGCAGGCTACTTTGGTCTTACCAATGCTGCAAAACGACATGGTCCTGTGCCCCTAGTACTGAAACCCCGGTGAGAATCTCTACCCTGAGCCTTAAAGCCGGCGAACCCCCTGAACGCACCCTAAAACCTGCACCTTCCTAACAGTCCTTAATAGGGACTATAATAGGGGGGGCGGGGGGAACTATAATCCTTATCAAGGACTGTTAGTACATGGGGAACATCCCAACCTAAACGCCTAAACCCCGAAACCCCTAAACCCTAAACCCCCAAACCCTACACCCTACACCCTACACCCTACACCCTACACCCTAAACCGTAAACCGTAAACCCTAAACCCTAAACCCTAAACCCTAAACCCTAAACCCTAAACCCTAAACCCTAAACCCTAAACCCTAAACCCTAAACCCTAAACCCTAAACCCTAAACCCTAAACCCTAAACTGAACCCGCTGAAGCTGGCCAAGTTGCTTGAGACCAAGGCCGTGTCTGGCGCGGATGGCGCAGCACTGGCCGATGTCGCCAAAACCGCATACGGCCATCCTCCACTGCGCGGTGTGGGTTTAGGGTTTAGGGTTTAGGGTTTAAGGTTTGGGGTTTAGGGTTTAGGGTTTAGGGTTTAGGGTTTAGGGTTTAGGGTTTAGGGTTTAGGGTTAGGGTTCAGGGTTCAGAGTTTGGGGTTTAAGGTTTCGGGTTTAGGGTTTGGGGGTTTAAGCTGTAAGGCGTATAGGGTGCAAGGCGTAAGTGGGGTTCATGGTTTCCAGGATTTAGGGTACCGGGTTGAAAGGTTGGAAGCGATCAAATTTCGCCCCAGGGATCCACGAAGCTTTTGGTTATGATGACTTTACAGGTTTAGGGTTTGGGGTTTGGGGTTTAGGGTTTAGGGTTTAGGATTTAGGGTTTAGGGTTTAGGGTTTAGGATTTAGGGTTTAGGGTTTAGGGCTATTAAGACCATTGCTACGAGTATGAGTGTGATTGCGGGCGCGGTGTTGACGATGATTGTGATTCTGCTTGCGAGATGGCTTTGAATCCTATAGAATTAAAAGTTCATTTCCAAATACTCTTACACTCATAACCCTAAACCCTAAACCCTAAACCCTAAACCCTACAGTCAAGCGCCTTATGCTCTCCGACTGCATCTGGCGCAGCGCCATAAGGCCGTAGTGTAGAGGGTTTAGGGGGTAGGGGTTCAGGGGTTTAGAAGGGGGTTTATGGCGGTGTGGAGTGTCACAGGATTCAGGAGCCGCTAATGTCGCACAACGGGCTGAGCCAGGGGAACTTTGTGCACCCGGAAATAAGCCCTAACCCGAGTTCAAGCCTCAACCGTCACCTCCGACACCGCAAGCTCCCCAAAATACCCTAAACCCTAAACCCGAAACCCTAAACCCTAAACCCGAAACCCTAAACCCTAAATGTGTCCGGAATTCTAAGCGGCACCCTAGGGTTCGAGGAGACTTTTGCAGTTTAGGGCTGAGGGTTTACCTAAGTTAGGGATTCCGAATTCGGGGTTTAGGGTTTAGGGTTTAGGGTTTAGGGTTTAGGGTTTAGGGTTTAGGGTTTAGGGTTTCGGGTTTAGGGTTTAGGGTATGATGGGTACCTTACTTGGGTCCTGTAAGGGAATCCTATTGGGGACTATGTTAGGGGTCCCTTATGTTCGTAAACCCTAAGCCGTTAACCCTAAAACCCTAAACCCTGAACCCTAAACCCCTAAATTAAACCCTAAACCCTAAACCCCCAAGTGGAAGCTCTCAAGCGGCGTCATCGACGTCGTCGATGGCGAGGCGAAGCGGTCCCACTTCCGATCTCGACGGTTTGCAAGGAGCTGCGGCACCTCTGGAAGCATTTTGAAAGGGTTTAGGGTTTAGGGTTTAGGGTTTAGGGTTTAGGGTTTAGGGTTTAGGGTTTAGGGTTTAGGGTTTAGGGTTTAGGGTTTAGGGTTTAGGGTTTAGGGTTTAGGGTTTAGGGTTTAGGGTTTAGGGTTTAGGGTTTAGGGTTTACGAGCATTTAGGGATCCAGGTTCTTGCCCAAGGCACTTCTCAACCCTGCTATCACTCTGCCCTCAGATCGCCTGTTGCGGGCTTAGGGTTTCCTTGCTTTCTGTCCCTAAACCCTGAACCCTAAACCCTACACCCTAAACCCTAAACCCTAAACCCTAAACCCTAAACCCTAAACCCTAAACCCTAAACCCTAAACCCTAAACCCTAAACCCTAAACCCTAACCCTAAACCCTATACCCTAAACCCTAAACCCTGCCCTTGTTCGCTCCGTACGCAAACGCAAACTGCTGGACCAAAGCAGACGAACCAGGGGAATGCCCCGCGCATGCCGAGCTCGTAAGCAACCGAACATCCATAATATCGGGGTTTAGGGTTTAGGGTTTAGGGTTTAGGGTTTAGGAGTTGTTACAAATGGTATTCCCTTATGGTTCCTTCATAATTATACGATAGTATCCCCCAAAGCCCTACTCGAATTGCAACCACAGGTGCTTCTCAGAGGTGAGGTCATGTAGGGCCTAGATTTTTGAATGTGCGCCGAACCAGCCCGCACGAAGCAATGCAGTTATATAAGGGCCTGAATAATTAGAATGGCGCGTTGAGGGTTCTGATCGTATAATTATAGACGGGCCATAAGGGAATACTCTTAGTTATTATTCCGACCCCCACGTTGTTCTGGTGCATTTTCTTTCGTGTCATCATTGAGCTCATAAGAGAAAACATGCCAAACCCTAAAGATTCCACCCCCGGACACCCAAACCCTCAAGACCATCGCCCCCCCCCCCCTCCCCCCCTCAAAAAGAATCATAAAATTCATAAATAAACTGAACAGTCAAGTACACTGCCCTGACGCTGCCTGAACCCTAGTTTGACGCCCCCAAAGCCGCCTGAGAGTTTACGTTTGTAGGGTTTACGGCCAGGGTTGAGGGTTTTAGGCTTTAGGGTCTTGGTTTTAGGCTTTGAAACCCCTAGACCCGAAAAAAGGGCGGACCCACCCCACCCCGCCCCACCCCCCCACCCCCTCCCAGCGCCTGTCGGTTGAAGTAGAGGATGCTAAGGAGGACGTGCCTTGCTTTCCGTTAGGGAGGCTGTAGGGGTTTTTAGGGTCTTTCTTTGCTAGGTGAGCCAGTAGAAGGCAGTTACAGGGGCGACAAATGAACACTGCACGCCATGCGTGTGGGCTTAGGGAGTAACCCTAAACCAAACCCTTAGGGAGTATAGCACTTTGATTCTCCCTAGCCCTGAACCAGGCTACTTTAAGGGACTTGGTGTCGCGCTCGCTCTGTGGCTGCTTTAAGGGTTTAGGGTTTAGGATTTAGGGTTGAGGGTTTAGGGTTACATGGGCTAGGGAGCTCACAGTGCGGTTTGCGGGTGCGTCCTAACATCAAAAACCAGCAAACGCAAGCCGGGCAACTGGGCCAGCATCTCCGCGAAGACTGAGCGCGTGTTGGAAAAAGGGATGCCGCGCTTGCCGAGGATCCCATGCAGACGCCTTGGATCGGCCCCCTGAACCTGAAACCCTAAACCCTATACTGAAAACCGGAGGCTTGTGCCCCCCAAGAGCCCTAACCCTACGGCCGAAACCGTAAACCCCAAGCCTCCAAGAGCCCTAAGGTCACTTCAATCGAAGGCTCAATGGGTTGATCGAGTCCACACCGGTAAAGAGCGAGTGGACCCACTTCACCCGGGACGGCGGAGACGCCGGAGGGCTCTCGTCCGTGATGGGTGGGCCCACCAAATACTCCAAGACCTCTGTAGAGTTCAGGGTAGGGTTTAGGGTTTAGGGGTTTGGGGTTTAGGGATTAGGGTTTAGGGCTTCAGGTCTTAGAGTAGCATGGGAATACTACCGGCACAAACCGTTTTTTCTTTTTGATATCCTGGGGGCCGATGAGGCGACCTAGCCCCTAAGAATAAAGGGAATAGCCCCCAAACCCAAAAGACCCGTACCCCGAAATAACCCTTTCTGGCCCTAAATAGCCCTGAACAGCCTTGCAGAACCCTAAATAGCCCTACATAACCCCAGGGTTCAGGGCTTAAGGGCTTAGGGCAGATAAAGGCCGATCCCAGCATCCGACGCTTCAAGGGTGCCCCCCCCCCCCCCCCCTAACGCCCTAAAAGCGCCCTAAAAGCGCCCTAAAAGCGCCCTAAACCCTAAACCCTAAACCCTAAACCCTAAACCCTAAACCCTACAACCCTAAACCCTAAACCCTAAACCCTGGAACCCTATAAGCCTCCACGCAGGTTGGGCTGCCCACGAGCACGACCAGGTCCTCCCCTTCAGCAAGGTCTCGGAAGTCCTCGAGCAGGGGTTTGGGTTTAGGGTTTAGGGTTTAGGGTTTAGGGTTTAGGGTTTAGGGTTTAGGGTTTAGGGTTTAGGGTTTAGGGTTTAGGGTTTAGGGTTTAGGGTTTCGGGTTTCGGGTTTCGGGTTTCGGGTTTCGGGTTTCGGGTTTCGGGCTTAGGCTCAGGAATCTTAAGTTGAGGGTTTTGGATATACTCGTGTATCTTATGATGTTGAACTGTATACTTGCGTGTAATGATTTACGTTCTTGCGCCAAACCCTAAACCGTAAACCTTAAACCCTATACATTTGGGTTTGGGTAGCCGGGCTATAAAGGTCGAGGTTTAATTGGGGTTTTTTCGATGGACTTTAGGCACTGCAGGAGCGTTCCCCCTTCCGAAGCACTTCGCCCCAAAATGAAAATCTTGCGTCTATATACATATATATATACATATTATATTTATTTATCTATATTTATTTATTTTTATTAGAGTATACATGTCTGAAGTAGCAGTCTAAATTCTTGGAATAGGTTTTGGGGCTATTTTCGTATGCTTATATAAGGACCATGAGGGAATACTATTCGCGATATGCTCCGACCCCTATATTATGTACGCAGTACGTGCAGCATACAGCTTCAGATCGATCTACGCGAATACAGGGGACCTATGTTGGGGAGTTTGATAGGAGTCCCTAGTTTGGGGTGAGTGGCTATAGATTCTCTGCAGGTGCTCGGCATTCGTCCGTCCTCCGCCAGGGTGCCATGGTAGACCCGGCTGAAGAGGCCCTGCGAAACAAGCTCCTGCCAGCCACCCTAAACCCTAAACCCTGAACCCTAAACCCGGCGCTGGAGGGATCTGGGGTCCAACCCCAAAGTGCATGGGTCCTAGGTTCCCCCCTTTAAGAACCTCAAGTTAGGCATAATCCTAGGGTTTAGGGTTTAGGGTTTAGGGTTTAGGGTTTAGGGTTTAGGGTTTAGGGTTTAGGGTTTAGGGTTTAGGGTTTAGGGTTTAGGGCATGGCGCTTCCTCGAACCCGGCAAGGTGCTGGGCCTACAGGGCCCGCCCCTAAACCCTCAGACTTAAACCCCACATCCGGAACCCTAATCCCTAAGCCCGAAACCCTAAACGATAAACCCTAAACCTTCAACCCTACATCCGAAACCCTAATCCCTAAACCCGAAACCCAAAGCTCAAACCCCAAGCCTCAAGCCATGACTAAAAAGCCTCCATGCCCAAACCCATGGAACCTAAGACCATCTGAGCTTCTTCCTGTCTAAGGGTTTAGGGTTTAGGGTTTCGGGTTTAGGGTTCAGGGTTCAGGCAGACCTCAAAACTTGGCTCCAAAGACCAGAACATGAGAGTTTTTCGGAATATGACCCTCTGAAACCCAATAAAGGGGGAATGTAGCATGTGGGTCGGCTTACGAAAACAGAGGGCCCCTGAAACCCCCCCCCCCCCCCCAAATCGTAGGATAGTGATCCCTGAAAGCACTCATATTCTGGGTTACGGGTTCCCGGCGCCCCAGGAAACCCTAAATTCAAAAACAAGCAATACACAGAAAAACATCTGTGAAATTTATAACACAGATATGGCCTGATTTGCTTAAGCACAGAACGAAACTTTACAGATTTTGCTAAATGTTGCGAAAAAATGAGCATCTTCTGGGATGGTCGCGGCCTAGCTTTGCAGTTCTATATTTTTTGAAAAGAATTCCCTTGAGAGGCAAAAATCACACAACTTAGAAAATGCAATTCCCACCATACACAGAGGTCCTACGTACATAGTCCCTATATACCTAGGTAGCCCCTGCAACCCCCCGAACAACCCCTAAAGTCCCTTATAAGGGTCCCTCCTTTAGTCCCTTATGAACCCTAAACCCGAAGCCTTCGGGTTAAGGATTTAACGGTTTTAGCGTTTCGGGGTTTTAGGGTTTTAGGGTCTTAGGGCCTCAGGGAATTGGGGTTTTAGGGCTTTGGGGGTCTTAGGGCGTTAGGGCGTTAGGGTTTTTGGGTCTTAAGGTGTTTGGGTGTTTAGGTTTTAGGGTTTTGGGGTCTTAGCGTCTTAGGGTGATAGGGTTTTGGGGTCTTTGGGGTCTAGGATTTTAGGGTCTCAGGGGCCTTAGGGTTTGAGGTTACCCCGGCACCTCGAGCAAAGGGCCGATGATCTCGCGCGGGGCGTTGGCGGCCGCGGCCCCCGTGGCAGCCAGGTCCGCGGGCGGCATCACGGCGCAGAGGGCAAAAGGCATGGCTCTGGATGCCCAACTTTTGTGCCTTGAAGATCTACCTGCTCTGCTGTTCACTGTTCGGAGCCTCTGGGCTCGGACCGAAAAAACTCCAGAAAAGGTTGAGGGTTTATAGACCTTATGGGGTCTGACTTTCGACACCCACACCCACGCCCAAACCCACACGCACACCCACACCCACACCCACACCCACACCCACACCCACACCCGCACGCACACGCACATGCACAAGGCTGGCCCCTTCAAAACTCTCTTAATTAAGAATATTCCTGAATGTGATCCTCTTCAACAAGGCAAATACAAATGTCCCAAGGGCCTCCCCAGAAGTTCATAAGGTATCTCATGTGGGGGGGGGACCAGAACCCAGAACCCAGGGCCATTAAGGGATCTTTGCCTCAAACCCTCAACCCTCAACCCTGAACCCTCAACTCTAAACCCTCAACCCTCAACCCTCAACCCTCAACCCTAAACCCTAAACCCTAAACCCTAAACCGTGGCCAGTCCCTAACCTTGGGATCATAGGATCCACGACAGGCTCACATGCTTGGGCACCCGGCCTGCCGGTAAGAAGAGCCGCTGTTTGCTACTGACCTCCGGTTTCAGAGGTTAGGATCTGGGGGTTTAGGGGTTTATGGGTTTACTGGGTTTAGGGGTTTAGGGTTTGAGGGGTTTAGGGTTTAGGGTGTTTTCAGGTTTAGGGTTCGGGGTTTCAGGTCGTAAGCTTGGGTCTTAAGTGGGATCCTAAAAAACGAAACTTCCTAAACCTAAACCCCAAAAGTCCCATAAGCCCTAAACCCTAAACCCTAAACCCTAAACCCTAAGAACCATCGCGCCCCTGGCTTCACGAGCCCCAAAACCCCAAAGCAGCCTGCCAGGGGAAATTCTATTTGCTGAAGAGCCCTCCCCCCAAAAAACCCTCAACCCTAAACCCTAAACCCTAAACCTTAAACCCTAAACCCTCCCCCCAAATAGGGTTTAGGGTTTCGGGTTTAGGGTTTAGGGTTTGGGGTTTAGGGTTTAGGGTTTAGGGTTTAGGGTTTGGGGTTTAGGGTTTAGGGTTTAGGGTTTAGGGTTTAGGGTTTAGGGGTTTAGGGCTTGGGGTTTGGGGTTTAGGGTTTAGGGTTTAGGGGTTAGGGCAGACCCCTGCACCCCCCAGCACGCCAGGGGTGTGACTTGATGGCCCGTGGGCTCTGGAAGCCACAGGACCACTGTCACCTGGCAACACTTTGCGGGTCTAGTTGGCGTTTAACGGCCTTTTAGCCCCAAACCCTAAACCCGTAGCCCTAAACCCTAAACCCCAAACCCTAAACCCGTAGCCCTAAACCCTAAACCCGTAGCCCCCACGTGCTGTTGCGTTCAGAAAGTTTAGGTTTGTGAAGCTGAGGATTCAGGACTTGGGGCTTTAGAATTTAGGGGCTTGTAAGGTTGAGGGTTCAGGGTTCAGGGTGAACTAACACCTAGACATCGGGTTTTGCGGGGTATTGAGAACTTCGGCTTGCCCCTGCGCCCCCAAACCCTACACCACCCTAGACCCTGAACCCGGAACGCTAAAGCCTGGACACTACCCAAAACCCTAAGCCCTAAACCCTGAAGCCTGGACCTGAACCCGAAGACCTGAACCCTAAGCCCTCAACCCTGAACTTGTCACTCCAGGGTGAAGGTTTCGGGTTCCACGATACGGTCCGCTCTAAGCCCCAAACCCTAAACCCTAAACCCTAAACCCCAAACCCTAGACCCTAAACCCTAAGCCCAAAACCCAAAACCCAAAACCCTAAACCCTAAACCCTGCCACAGTCCTAATGATGGGAACCCTGAAGACACGAGGGGTTCATGTCATGGAAACCTCCCCTGCATGGAGATTTTATGCTAAACCTGCAGCCCGCCGGAACCTATGGCCAGACGCAAGAGCAACCAGGAAAAACCAGGGTGCCCGTTTTGGTTTAAAGGCGCTTATCAGGAAACATATGCCCCCCCCCCCCCTCCCCAATGTAGAACCGACCCATCATGCAGCAGAGCACAGCAATCTTTCAGGGTGCTGAGACCCCTCCACTCCTCCCAAAGTCACCTCGCAAAACCCAAAACAAAACGCCCCAAAGCCCCAAAACCCTGAAGCCCTAAACCCTAAACCCTAAACCCTAAACCCCTACACCCCCTGACGCCCCCTCTCTCTTGGGCAGAGCTGCTGGCCACGGAGAGCGGCCGACGATGACGCTGCCTCTCGGGGAGGCGACCCTTTCTCCAACACATTCCTTGGACCCTGGGGGCTAAACCCTAAACCCTAAACCCTAAACCCTAAACCCTAAACCCTAAACCCTAAACTCCCTAAACACTACCTGGAACACCCTGAACGCTACCCCTAAACACTCTCAACCCCCCCGAAGCTCTCCCCCCCCCCCCCCCCCCCCCCCCCCCCCAAAACCCTACCCGTTTCACGGTTTTGGGGTGCTAGGCCAAACCGTTCCGCCGAGCCACCGCCGACGAGCGGGTGGAGGTCGTCCCAGAGCCTCCATGGGAGTCGTTTCGGCAGGTTCAAGTGAAAAGGAGGTTTGGGGTGTATCCCTAAACCCTAAACCCTAAACCCTAAGCCCTAAACCCTAAACCCTAAGCCCTAAGCCCTAAGCCCTGGTTTCATGTCTTAGGAGCTGGTTGGGCTTCCGGGTTCTTCTCTTATTGGGAGTTCACAGGGCTTCGCTGGATTGAGGGCTTGGGTTCAGGGTTCAGGGTGCAGGGTGCAGGGTGCAGGGTTTAGGGTTTAGGGTTTAGGGCTTCGGGTTTCGGGTTTGGGATTTTGGGATGTAGGGTTTAGGGATATGTTGGGGCCAGGAGGACGGGCCCCATGGGGGTAGGAGCGTGAACCAATCTTGCAACATGGAGCCTTCGTTTCCGCAACCGCAAAACCTCTAAATTCCCTAAACCTTCAACTTCGCAAGCCCCCCAAACCCCCTGAAGACCCTAAACCCCAAACCCTAAACCCTTTATCCCTAAACCCCTCAACCCCCTAAGCCTGAAGCCCCTTCTGCCAAGGGACAGAACCTTCGAACCTAAACCCCAAACCCCAAACCCCAAACCCTAAACCCTAAACCCTAAACCCTAAACCCTAAACCCTAAACCCCTTCTGCCAAGGCACAGCGCCGCGTCCGAACCGAAGAAGAGGAGCCGCCCGCCGGGCCAGCCCCACTCTTGGCATGAGGCTTGTCTAGGGTCTAGGGTTTAGGGTTTAGGGTTTGGGGCTTAGGGCTTAGGGTTTAGGGTTTAGGGTTTAGGGTTTGGGGTTTAGGGTTTAGGGTTTCGGGTTTAGGGTTTAGGGTTTAGGGTTTAGGGCTTAGGGTTTAGGGTTTAGGGTTTGGGGTTTAGGGTTTAGGGTTTCGGGTTTAGGGTTTAGGGTTTAGGGTTTAGGGTTTAGGGTTTAGGGTTTATAGGGTTTATAGGGTTTATAGGGTTTATAGGGTTTATAGGGTTTATAGGGTTTATAGGGTTTATAGGGTTTAGGGTTAGGGTTTAGGGTTTAGGGTTTAGGGTTTAGGGCTTAGGGCTTGGGGTTTGGGGTTTGGGGTTTGGGGTTTAGGGCCCTGGGACAGGACCATTAACAACAAAACTGCGGCACGAATCTGGTTTCCCTGGAAGCCCCAATGCCTGAAGAATCCCCAACTCCTTCAATTCCTGGTTGTTAAGGAACTTGCACACTTTGTCACTTAGAGGGGGGTTTGGGGTTTAGGGTTTAGGGTTTAAGGTTTAGGGTTTAGGGTTTAGGGTTTAGGGTTTAGGGTTTAGGGTTTAGGGTTTAGGGTTTAGGGTGTAGGGTGTAGGGTTTAGGGTTTAGGGTTTAGGGTTAAGACCATTTATGTACCATATATCCGTATTATTGCGGTAAGTGACCCAAAAACCGTGCCGAGCTTGAGCGGAGCAGCGTTTTGGTGTCAGATGGGTCGGAGGCTGATGGGCGCCAGGAGTGGGACTTACTTTGAAACAGACTTGCCTGGGACCCTCTTTACCTACAGTTTTATGGGTCATACTCACTAATTAAGGGTTAGCTACTTCTAATCTGTAGGTAAATAGAGTCTTCCATGCAAAGGTCAGTCAGGGAAACAAAATGGAGCCCAGAATGTGGAGCAGCCTCCACACTCAAAACTGCTGACCCAGTAAACCTTGCTAACCCGAAACCCTAAACCCTAGACTCTAAACCTAAACCCTGTGAACCCTGAACCCTGAACCCTAAACCCTAAACCTTGCCAAACAATGTACAAAAGGCACCGCCGGCTGAGAACGCCACTGCTCTCCACCGCCATGCGACATTCCCCCACCGTGGTGCCTCCAGGATAGGTCTAAGGGTTTCGGGTTTGGGTCTTAGGGTTTAGGGTGTAGGGTTTAGGTGGAAGGTTTAGGGTTTGGGGTTCAGGGCTTAGGGTTTGGGGTGGGATTTCGGGCTTCGGGCGTTTAAGGATTGGGCTTCGTGGTTTTGGGGTTTGGGGTTGGGGTCTCTGGTTACCGTCAGGGTCGGGATTGCATACTCGAACTTTCCCGACCCCTGCAAATGAGTAGATGATCCTCAAACAGCCTGACCCCCACATCCCAGAACCCGATTTTTAGTTCCATGGCTGGCGGGAATTGGGGACTTAAACAGCAGCTGATGAACTTCAGGGCTACGGACCGGCGCTACTGCCGACACCATCTCCCCTCTCCTCCAGCATTTCACGGCTGCTCCGAAAACGTCATGAAGAACAATACTATCAGGGGCACACACGGTGTAATAATGACGTGACTCAAGAACAAGCTGATGACACCTCCACACCTGGGCTTTTAGTTCCTCATGAACGGATCCGGCAATCTGCATGATTCATGTGCGTAGTTGGTTGCATGAGGGTGTTCCCCTTGAAGGATGACACTGCAGCAGCGTATGCTAGAGGAGGGTTTTGGTACCCTAATTCAGCCCCACGAACCCTCTGGGCCCTAACCCCTAAATCTGAAGCCCCCCAAGGAAGGTATCCCAGCGCAGCAACAGGGCTCTCGACTTCAGAGCCTTGATGTAGGGTGGTGTCATTGGGCTATATTTCCGGGCACACCCTAAACCCCTACGTAGCGCGCTTCCACCTTCAACAGGCCTCTACCCTAAAACCCCGAAACGGCAAACCCCAAACCCTAAACCCTAAATGTCTTACGCTAACAAGGGACCCCCAAATAGGAGGATGCCCTTATAAAAAGGATCCCAATAAGGTACCCCTCTTCTCCTAAACCCTCCTAAACCCAAAACCCCAAACACTAAACCCTAAACCCTAAACCCTAAACCCTAAATGTCAGGGTTCAGGGTTTAGGCGTTAGCGTCTCGGGAGGCCCGGCCGACGGGAAGCTCAAGCCGCTCTGGCGAAGCAGAAGCCAGCAGCGTGACCTCAGCTCTTTGGTTTAGGGCTTAACGTGTAGGGCGTATAGGGTTTAGGGTTTACGGTTTAGGGTTTAGGGTTGAGGGTTTAGGGTCTAGAGTCTAGGGTTTCCCCGCCTCCCCTTTATCCAAAAAGGAACCCTAAGTTAGAGAACTACCCACTTGGGAATACTTGGGGGGAGGATTAAGGCTGAAGAGCCACATCCACAGCCTGTGACTTTGGGCTTCGGGTTTAGGGTTTTAGGTTTAGGGTTTCGGGAGTTGTGGGAAAACCCTACTAACCCTAAACCTTAAACTACCCTACAAGCCCTAAACCCCATAAACCCCTAAAACCCTAAACCCCTAAACCCCTAAACCCCTTAACCCCTAAACCCCTAAACCCCTAAACCCCTAGACCCTAACCCTAAACCCCTAACCGCTCCCGAAACAACCCGAATCTAGAGCAACCCGAACCCCTAGCCCTAAACCCTAAACCCTAAAACCCGAAACCCTAAACCCTAAACCCTAAACCCTGGGGGCGGCCCGAGGCCGGGCCTCTGGGAGCTTGGGGGCCGGACCCGCTCGAAGAGGTGCTGGGGCTTCTTCTTCGGCATGGCGCTTCTGGCTAGGGTTTAGGGTTTAGGGCTTAGGGCTTAGGGCTTAGGGCTTAGGGCTTAGGGCTTAGGGCTTAGGGCTTAGGGCTTAGGGTTTAGGGTTTAGGGTTTAGGGTTTAGGGTTTAGGGTTTAGGGTTTAGGGTTTAGGGTTAGGTTTAGGGTTTAGGGTTTAGGGTTTAGGGTTTAGGGTTTAGGGTTTAGGGTTTAGGGTTTAGGGTTTAGGGTTTAGGGTTTAGGGTTTAGGGTTTAGGGTTTAGGGTTTAGGGTTTAGGGTTTAGGGTTTAGGGTTTAGGGTTAGGGTTTAGGGTTCAGGGCTTTGGGCTTGAGGGTGTCTGCGAGCTCATGTGTTTGGAGCGTCGGCCGTTAAAAGGCCTACGAAGGCGGGAGAGCTTTCGCAGAGCCGAGCCATTCTTTCCGAAAACCGCAACCCTCATTTGAAGCCCGCTGTAGCCCGGAACCCTAAAGCCTAAACCCAAAACACCCAACCCCCCAAATTCAACAGCCCGCTGTAGCCCTGAAAGCAATAACAAGCCCTCCCACACAGCAAAACCCCAAAACCGATCCGAAGGCCATTGGTTTAGGGTTTAGGGTTCAGGGTTCTGGGTCATGAAGCCCCTAAACCCAACACTCTGCTCAAGGGCGCCTGGCTGGTAGTGAAAGGGAAGGGTCCCTCAACCCTAAGACCTAAACCTCAAGCACAGATAGGGGATCCGAAGTATGGGCCCTTAATTTGGGTCCCTTGTTATATAACCCTCATGTGCACTCTATATAACAAGGGCCCATACTTCAGATCCCTGTAAACAAGGGTAAGGGACCGTACTAAGGGCCCATGTAGAATAGCACTGGCTTCAGGGATTCCAAGGTTTCAGGTCTTGGCCTTGGGTCTAGGGTCTAGGGTCGAATTTAGTGTTTCGGGTTCAGGCAAACAGGGCCCAGACAGCTTGAAATCGTCCGGCGCTCTTTTGAGATTTGAAATCGCGCGGAGACGCGAGCAACTCATCCCAGCGCGAGCCGGGGCTGTTTCAGGGTCTAGGGCCTGGAAGATAACCCAAGAGGAACCTGGGACTGAAGAGGGTATCGTTTTTGGGGTTCAAGGGGCTTTTCAGGGAACCTTATGGTGTATAGAATTCAGGAGGCTCTGGGCCATGATCCTGATTTTTGAAAACCCGAAACCCTACACCCTAAACCCGAAGCCCTAAACCCTAAACCCTAAACCCTAAACCCTAAACCCTAAACCCTAGCCCTAAACCCTAAACCCTACATTAAGGGAGGATTTTTGAAGAAGACTTTGCGGCTCCGATTTTGTTGGGAGCGCAGGGACCTAACAGGCCCCGATGGGGATGGCGCCAGGTGGCCAAGGAGGTCCGGCAATGAGGCTTGGGTTTAGGGTTTAGGGTTTAGGGTTTAGGGTTTAGGGTTTGGGGTTTAGGGTTTAGGGTTTAGGGTTTGGGGTTTGGGGTTTGGGGTTTGGGGTTTGGGGTTTGGGGTTTGGGGTTTGGGGTTTGGGGTTTGGGGTTTGGGGTTTGGGGTTTAGGGGTTTAGTGTTTAGGGCTTTTGGGGTTTAGAAGGGACGAAGCAACGGAGCAGCGCGTTCACAGCTACCTTTCTCGCTCTCTCTTCTCTCCAGCAATCTGGGTAGCTCCCTAAGTTCGGGTCCTTTTGTTGAGTCCTATATATATATATATATATATATAATGCGGCACCCTTATAATACCGACCCCCCCAAAAAGGGGCCCTACAACTTAGAGAATATAGGGATTCCGGGGTCTTTAGTGCTGAGGGCAAGCGTGTTGGCCACCTAACTGTGCACTCTTCACCACTTTGGCAGAGTGAGCCTTCGGCAGACTTGGCGAGGAGAAGAGTCTTGAAAATGGAGGCTTCAGGGGGGCTGCCCAAACTCGAGGCCCTAAACCCTAAACCCGGGTAGGCCTGATGCTTAGCTAGGTTCAGACCCTGGCGTCTGAGGCATCGCCCTTTGGGGTTTACAGGGCTTAGGGACTTAGGGTGCTATGACGACGGCCACTTGAAAGCTTGTATTGCCAGCTGCTCTTGCCCTCTTTGGTCCCTTTGTAAGCGTGGCCAACCTTGCTTTAAGAGGTATTAGGGTTTAGGGTTTAGGGTTTAGGGTTCAAGGTTTAGGGTTTAGGGTTTAGAGTTTAGGGTTAGGGTTTAGGGTTTAGGGACGGGCCCGCTTCTGGGGAAAGCTCCCTTCCCGAGCGCGCTCCATAGGGGAATTCGGGAATGAGAGACCTTCCATCCCCCTAGTCCTAACCCTTCAAAGGGGGAAGTTTTAGGGTTTAGGGTTTAGGGTTTAGGGTTTAGGGTTTAGGGTTTAGGGTTTACGGTTTAGGGGTTAAGTCTACCCCATACAGCCCTCTAAGGGATCAGATGGGAGCGCCTCATTCCCTGCTTCCCTACCATAGAGCTCGCCAGACAAAACTAATGGTCTAACAGTCGATCACGCGCTCCACCACTGAGCAGATGGCTCTGATTTCAAGCCATCAGCTCCGGCGAGGTTCCCTCTGTGTGCAGGCGCTCTAAACACTCCGGGGGGGAGTCTGCCCGCAAAGTTCGGGCTGCAGGCTTAAAAGACGTGCCCCCTAAACCCCCTGAGGCGCCCTTAAACCCTAAATCCCAAAATAGCAAAAACACCCCCGAGCTTGCCTCCTAAGCCCCTCTGGCTAGACCCCCTTACTGTAAACCCTATGCGGAACTACCGCTGGGGGGTGCCCCCTCAGCAATCCCTAAACCCTAAACCCTAAACCCTAAACCCTAAACCCCAAACCCTAAACCCTAAACCCTAAACCCTAAACCCTAAACCCATTGGGAAGTTCAGGCTTTAGGGTTTAAGGTTTCAGGGTTTGGGACTCAGGGTGGCACGGAGCTCTTCATGTCTGCTTTGTGCTCAAGAGGCTTGGCTTTAGAAGGCACGCTTTGTCGTTTAAAGGGTTTAGGGTTTAGGATTTAGGCTTTGGGGTTTGGGGTTTAGGGTTTAAGGGTTAGTTAAGGTGTGTTGTTGGGGTTTGGGGTTGGGGCGTTCAGGTTCAAAGCCTTCGGTTTACAAATTTCAAATCCCGCAATTTGTAACCCGGATCCCTAAACCCAAACCCGAAACCCGAAACACTAAACCCTCAAACCTAAACCCTAAGCCTAAACCCTATCCCTAAACCATAAACCCCCAGCCCGAAAGCCCAAGCGCCGAGCCAGCGCAGCACCAGCGGCTCAGGGGTAGGTCGCTGTCCACTTCAGCCTCAAACTTCCGGGTGCATGGGGCGGCCTAGTGCTTGAAACATGCGTAAGGTTTAGGGTTGAGGGTTTTGGGTTTAGGGTTTAGGGTGTAGGGTTTAGGGTTTAGGGTTTAGAGTTTAGGGTGTAGGGTGTAGGGTTTAGGGTATACGGCTTGGGTTGTGTAGGGCTGCATAGGGGTTTAGGCATGACGTCATGCTTTGGTTTGGCCTCAGAGGGGCCGAAACGCACGTTACGACCACATGTGCCTAAAGCCTTCAACTCAACCCTCCCTACACCCTGAACCCTGAACCCTGAACCCTAAACCCTAAACCCTAAACCCTAAACCCTAAACCCTAAACCCTAAACCCTAAACCCTAAAGGCCTCAGGCCCGAAACCCTGCGCCAAGCTGCCCAAGTCTTCTGGGAGTCCAGGGCTTAGGGTTCCCACAAATTGTGGGATTTGAAAACTGTAATTAAACCCGAGGCTCTGAACCCCAAAGGCCCCAACCCCAAACCCCAACAACACACCTGAACTAACCCGTAAACCCTAAACCCTAAACCCTAAACCCTAACCCTAAACCCTAAACCCTAAACCCTAAACCCTAAACCCTAAATTGAGCCGTAGGAGCGTTTTCTCGGCGTAGCGGACGAGGACTGCCAGGGACCGACCGCCGATGACGGGCCTCAGGCTAAAGGGGCTGGGGGGTCGAAGGTTTCTGTAGGGTTTAGGGCTTAGGGTTTAGGGTTTAGGGTTTAGGGTTTAGGGCTTAGGGCTTAGGGTTTAGGGCTTAGGGTTTAGGGTTTAGGGTTTAGGGCTTAGGGTTTAGGGCTTAGGGCTTAGGGTTTAGGGCTTTGGGCTTAGGGCTTAGGGCTTAGGCTAGGGGTTTGGGGGGTTAGGGTTGATTTAGGGTTTGGGGGGAATAGGGAGATAGGGGGGTTCAGGGTGTTTAGGGTGTTCAAGGTGTTTAGGATTTGGGGGATGAGCATTAGATCAGCAGAGAGCAGCCAGTGACAGCATAGACCTGCTGGCTTTTCGTCGGAAACAAGGGAAGTAGGCACCTTCCGTGCCTTATGGGATATAAGCCCTATCCCCTTTAAGGGATTGTATAGGGGTATATAAACCCCATCCTCTGAAAGGGAATATTTTGGGGAATATCAACCCTAATTCCCTTAGTCCCTACTGAGAGACAGTAGGTTATGCAGATGACATGGAAGCTCATGGTGGCCGAGACCCAAGAGCAACCTACCCTAAACCCTAAACCCTAGACCCTAAACCCAAAAACCCTAACCCCTAAACCCTAGGAATAAACAGTGTGCCTTTTCGGGTTTAACGGGGAACCTACACCCAAGTCCTGGTAGCTAAGCCAAGCTAGACTTCGACCTGAGAGCTCGATGTCGAGGGTCTACAGTCTAGTGCTTGGGGTTACACATAGCATCCCTAAACAACCCTTCACCCTACATCCTAAACCCTGAACTCTAAACCCTGAACCCTAAACCCTGAACCCTAAACCCTAAACCCTGAACCCTAAACCCTAAGATGACGTCTCCGGGATCCCCGCGGCAGCTCCTTGTCTGCACCTGAGAAGGCGGCGCCGAGACAGGAACTGGACAGTTCTCTAAACGAGGGTTGAGGGTTTCGGGTTTAGGGATTAAGTTGTGGGGTTTAGGGTCTAGAGTTTAGGGTTTAGGGCTTCCTCTTTGTCTTGTTTAGAAGGTGCCGTGCAAAAGGGGCCCACTTTAGAGAACGACCCAAGTCAAAGGTTGTTAGTAA